CGTAGCTGTGTTCCACTAGAGGACTGAACAAGAGGTGAGAGATCTTTTGTGGATGTGCGTGTGTATTCTCTCTGCCCATCCCTGGGTCACCAACATATATACACAATTTTCATTTGAAATGGGAATTCTGAATGATGCTATACGTGTATTTGTTTTCTCAGGTTTTACCTGTGCTCTACAGAAAGAAATATTATACCAAGGGAAGCTCTTTGTATCTGAAAACTGGATTTGTTTTCATTCCAAGGTCTTTGGGAAAGACACTAAGGTTGGTATAATTATTTTTTAAAAGAAAGCTAACCACATTTTTTAATATATTGTGTATCTGACTTGTTTTAAATATAGCAATGTTTCTAAATATTTGTGTCATTATTATACTTCTATAGCAAATTTCCTTTACTGTAGTTCCAAATACTACAGGCTGTAAATGCCTCCAGATGACACTAACTTCCCTTTTTCCCTCAACACTACTCTTTCATGCATTTCCTTACATACAGGCATCTCTCCCATAACCCTACCTTAAATCCTTTTTACCAGCTGTCACCAGCAAACTCTCAAAGTTCTTCATATGGAGGGTGTGCCCTACTTTGTTTCAAAGACATACATTAAACCCAAAACAATTTTTTAAAGAAACACCAGCACAAAATGAGCAGTAATTGGGGCATTTTAGGTCGAGTCTGGAAGAGTCACATACCCACAATCCCCTGTGGTCATTGATTGACATCTTCTCATCCTCACTAAACACACATCTGGAGGCACAAAGGCCTGTGACACCTGCATTACGGAGAATAGTCTGAAGGAATTGGCAGCTTTCCCAGGGCACCACCTTCTAAAATAAGGACCTTGGACTTTGGCACCAGAAAGAAAAAGCTGCTTCCATCCCACTGACATTCCTTCCCTTTGAGCTGTGATATCACACAGTTCATTCAGGCAACCAGAATAAGGAGTCAGAGAAACACCCAGGGTTTGTGGGACGTCTGAGTTTTTAATCATTTTGATTCATGCTTCTGAATACGCAGCTTTTCTACTCATGAAGTAGCTGATTTAAAAACTCTTTTTGTTTTGAATGGGAGATGTTTTATTTAAATATTCTCCGTAAAGCCACTGGCAGCCTTATGCATTAAGACCACTTAACAAATATGATGGCAGTTCCTTACTTTGGTTGGTGTTGAATCAGCAGACTAACATCAAACGTGTGATTTTTATTGTGTAGGGTTATGTGCAGATAAACATCATTTTGATTCACAGTATTATTTGAATCAGTATAATGCAAAGCAGTATTGAGTAGTGTTGCACCGTATTTCTAGATTTCTGGATTATAAGCACTTGTTCAGGGAGTGGGGAAGGGGACTGAGTAGTACTCATCTCCAGTCCAGTGGGATTAAGATTAATTCTTAGGAATACAGAGAGCCAACACCTCCAACCAAAGCAGCAGGGGTTGAAAACATTAGTGAACAAAGAATTAGTCTTTGTTAAGGGATGAGGAATTCACAAAGCCAGTGAGTGCAGTTTCAAGCTAGTATGACTGCAGCAGTGGTTTCAAAATCCTACCTCTACCTTAGAGAGAACATACCAAAAAAAGCTTAAAGGAGCGAGCTGGTTTTTTAAAGGCATGGATGCGCTGGAATTGCTCTTGCATGTGCTGCATCTAATCTAAGAGACCAAAGTGAGCGGGACAATGTGAACCACGATGGTGACTTGCACATTCCTTCCCCACTGAGGATGGTGTCAGGGAGACTTGGACTTCAGCTCACTAGCCAAATTTCCTCACTGCCAAAAGGACTTAGTCCAGTGTGATCCAATATGAACTAAAAGCAACTCAACAATTTACTCTAGGAAAGGGAGTTTTCTAAGCCCCCTACCCAGGAAAAATATTAATAAGGTGAAACCTTAATTCAATCAGGACCTTTCAGTCAGCCTGTGTGTATTTTTAGATGCAAGTAAAATTAAATGCACACATCCCATTCCATCCAGGCTCAAACTGAGAAGTGATTCATGCTTTATTTCTCAAATGTTATCTAGTTGTCATTTTTATACTCATGAAGCAGTTGATTGAGAACTTCATAAGGGTGTTTGTTCCATGCCTTAGATTATGCAAAAATCCAAATTTATAGCCCCTTGTCACTGTGTTTGTGTTGCTGCTCAGAAATAAAATGAGACTCATTTTTATACTATCATCTATCTTGGTAGAGCTTTCCAAAGTGATCCCAACTTATAACTTCTGAACTGTCTCCCACACTTCACAAGTTTTGTGGGTAGAGTTCTTTGGCAAAAGAGTTTTTTTCTCTTTAACATCGAATTTAAATTAGCCCCACATTCTCCCATGGTCTTCCATCTGGTACTTTGAGGAGCAGTAGCCTAACTCTATCTCCTAAACCTAAATAGGAATGCAAATATTCAAAATTAAAAATTTTCAAAATTAAAAGCTCAGTTTTCATCCTTCCAGCTGGCAGTACATATACAAGGCCCTCCTCGTCCCCACTGACCTTGCTGAGCTCTTTCAGAGTACGTGAACCCTTTTTTACAAACCATACATTCAAGTCAGTGAGTGCACCTGCGGAGGGATTCAAGTCCTTTTCCTGCCACCAGGAGAGGGGTGTGTGACAAAGAGATGAGATCCAGTTTTGAGACTAAACATGGTTGAAGGGACATAGCATTACAGTATCAGGAACACCTGCTATTCTTTGTCGTATCTGATACAGTGTGGTCCATGCTTTGTGGCATGGAGCACACTGTATTAAAAAGAACCCATATTTTGGATCAAATTAGTTCACATTCTGTCTTTGTAACTTATTATATTTATGACCTTGAACAAATCCTATACCTCGCCAAAGAAACTCCTTTATCTCGTAGAATATCTACTTTATAGGAATGTCATAGTTAAAGGACATGCGCCATCTGGTAAACAGGTACTGACAGTGGTAGCTACTATAACTGTCATTGTTAATCTTTATTTCTTTCATTTCACCGATCCTCTTTTTATGAGACAAATGAGGAAGTGAATGACATTTTTACTGCGTGTTAGGCATTTTCCATATATTATCGCATTTAATCCACAGCCAATTATGGGACGTAGGTAAGACTATCTCTGTTTTACAAGTTGGGAAACTGAGGCCAAGGAAAGATAGCTCTTAAGTTTGAGTAGGTCATGTAGAAAGTAAAACAACTAAGAATTCATGTCTTCAACTTCCTGTCCAATAACGGTTCTACTACACCAGGGCATTGCACCGTTTTCCCCTAAGGTCAGAGGGGAGTCAGGTATGTGGAGATTAGCTCAAAGTGGATGACCACAAGCATGTAACTTCTTCAGAGCCTTGGGCTTACCTTTAAAATAAGTGTACATTTTGCATTCTCTTCCCATGTCTACAGATAAAGGTTTCCCATCAAGCCCTTCAGTAGACTTGATCCAGATTTATCCTCCAGCTTTGTAAACACCACGTTGAGGAGCTCAAGTGATATACCTGTGCCACTCTTTAAGATTCGTTTTTCTTCATGGAGGCTGGAGAGCTTGCCCCTGGTTTTGATTGATCTTTTTTTATTTTCCCTTTATGTGAAGATTTGGAGTGCTGCTCTGTGAAGCCCAAACCAGTGTTAACTCAGTGATTCTGTTTCAGATCTCTATTCCGGCTTTCTCAGTAACCCTTATAAAGAAAACCAAAACTGCCCTTCTGGTGCCAAATGCTCTGATTATAGCGACGGTCACAGACAGGGTGAGTACACAACAGGCAAGGGCACCTTCCTTTGTCCTGCTCAGGGTTTCACTACCTTAGGGGCCCCTTGCCAAGGACTGAAACTCTGAACCATAAATACCATCATCTCCTATGGTGAATCAGGAGATATGCTTTGAAAACTAATTAATGAGATCACAGCCCTTAGAGATGTGTGTGTTGTTTCCCCAACAAGGTGATTTATTCTAATATAATTGTTGTCAGTTTTGAATTTCCTGCTGAATTCATTATACTTGCTTGACTAGGGTCAAAAAAATAAAATTCTTTCCCAACTTCCCTTTCCCTAACATCTATTAGGTCAGGTCAGGCTAACAGGATATATTTCATTGCTTTCATATTATTTAAAACACCACCACCACCACCTTGTTCTCAGGGTGAGGCAGGGTGATGCTGAGGAGTCCCTGGGGCCGGGTGGCCATCCTCCCCACCACCGCCATTGGAGCCTCTCCAGAGCCAACCCAAAGGCATCAAACTTGTGCTTGCTATTCACGTGCAGCTTCAGGACCAGTTCCCAGCCTCTCTTTGCTTCCAGGTTGTCTTAACTACTCTTCGATACAGCAATTCGAGAGTTGTCGTTGACTGTTGGGCTACCCCAGACATGTGCAGTATTTGCCTGGAGAGTGGTGTTTGTTTTAGCTTGGCAAGAGAGAGGGTGTGAAATAGTTTGCTTACTCATTTTGACTTGAAATGATTCTTTAAATATTTTACCTCCTATTTCTATGAAAGCATAAAAGCTACATTTCATGGCTAACCACACTGAAAAACTAAAGAAGGAGAGAGAAGGAAAGATAAAAGAGGCTATTCTGATGAGCTAAGAAACATGTTAATATCTATTCTGAGATTTTTTAGTTTTTTAAATACTAATGGCTAACAGGCATCAGGTCCTTCTCACCAGGCATGCACAAAATGCTCTTCTTACATTTACACGTTCTTTCCACACTACCACGCTGTAAGGGGATAGGAATTGTTAAGAAACCTGAAACTAAGCGGGATTAAGTAAGCCATTTGCCCAGTGTCACCCACTTGGTAAGTATCAGAGCCAAAAGCTGCAAGTCAGTCTGCCTAATGCCAGAATCCATAATGTTAACTACTTTGGAATACAGTATTTGCTTGGAAAGTGTATCAAGTTCTGTCATGGGTGAGCGAGAGGGTAATTACAAACTTTGGAAAAGGGGTGTGAAAAGATCCCGTGGCTCAAATAGAAGGAAAAGAATGAGCTTTTATATTTTCTCAGCATATGGTTCATGGTAAAATCATTTTTCCTTACGTTATTTGTCTCCAAATGACTTGTCTAGCTCTGATTTTACTTTTTCCCCATAACTTACTTAGAAGCATCCACGAGAAAGTCTCCATATTTGTACAAGAAGGAATCTGGAAGTGGCTTGAAAAAGAATGAGCCTATTAGAGCTGCTGGGAAACTGTCAATGGAAATCTAGGTCAGAGCAGACAAAGCTGACCTCGGGAATTGTTAAATACCTTTAAAAGGGGTGGGCATAGGAAGGGAGGAAGAGGGACTTTAAAGAGGACCTGGCAGATACCACTAGCCTTTTTTTTTTCATGTCCAGGTCTTTTTCTATCAATGCTTGTTTAGGGCACCAGTGTCAGGGTATTGGGACTTCATTCTGTCCTACACTTCTGTATTATTTAAATTGTATTTTAGGGTTTTGTTGCTATTATGGGATATATTTGCTTTATTCCGGGAATGGAATAAAAAGGTGTGGGTGTGGGTAAGTAGAATAAGAATATAGACTCTGTATAGAATATAGTCTATGTCAGATGGACCTAGGGATTATCATATTAAGTCAAGTCAGACAGACAAAGACAAATAGTATATATCACTTACATGTGGAATCAAAAAAAAAAAAGATACAAATTTTATTTACAAACCAAAAATAGACTCACGGACATAGAAAACAAACTATAGTTACCAAAGGGGAAAAGGGAGGGAGGGATAAATTAGGAGTTTGGGATGAACAGATACACATTACTATACATAAAATACATAAACAACAAGGATCTACGGTATATCACAGGGAGCTATATTCAATTTCTTATAATAAGCTAGGAAAAGAATCTGAAAAATATATATATGTATGTATATGTATAACTGAGTCGCTTTGCTGTACACGTGAAACATTCTAAATCAACTACACTTCAGTAAAAGATAAAATTTTTAAAAAGAATGTAGTCTATGTTGTTTGAAAATGAAAAATACATATACAGATAAATTTTTGAACTCTGGACTCTCACTTCTCATCAGGCAGTATCTGTTAATAATTGTTATTTTGTTTTTCAGTACATATTTGTCTCCTTGCTCTCCAGAGATTCAACTTACAAACTACTAAAATCTGTCTGTGGACACTTAGAAGTGAGTACAACATCCCTGAGCCTCAGTTGCTGTCTCTTCTGTGATTCTTACGGTTTCATAGTTGATCTGATTTTTTTCATTTTGTTTCACTAATTTCAGAACACAAGTATTGGCAACAGTCCCAATCCGTCTCCTCTTGAAAACAGTTTCCGGGCAGACCGCCCTTCATCTCTGCCTCTGGTGAGTTGCCTACACAATTATCTAAATGCAAGAGAAAGTGAGAATGTCTCATAATTACACTTCTTCTTACACCTCGACTGGGGTGTGGGAGGAACTTAGGACCATGATATTAGGCAAAGTTGAAGAAACAGGACATTTCTGTCCTAAAGAAAAGGGGATCAAAGAGGCCATAAACTTTTTCAAGTAATAGAAGAGTCATCCTGCAAAAGGAAAGAAACATGATAGAAGGCTGTCTTGGCGAGTTACTGGTCCATGGAGGTATTCATAAAATCTTGGTCTTTTTGTCAGTGTTGTTTTAGAGGGATTCACCAATCTTTTTGGGGTAGGGCATCTTTCATCCCACAAGGTGTCAAATGTCTTTGATGGTCAAGGCACCATGCTGGTGTACCCCTAGGATACCAGGAGAAAACAAAACTAGTTACTTGCCTTCAAAGACTTTACAGCTTAGTAGAGAACATGAGGGATACCCAGAGATAACTGTAAAAGAAGAAAGCTATAATGCCCAAGTCAAAGGTAGAGATTCTTTGATTCCTTTAGACTTTGTTGAGCACAGAGTAAATCTCTAATGGAAAGTAGCTCTTCCTATTTGTGCAAGATTTATACCCATGATGGTATAATGTAGGCCCAAGAAAGTCCTAGCCATATTTTTCAAATGGTTGTTCCCAAACTGACTACTGTTCAGTGTTTTAATACCTTTGGTAAAGCAGTATGAGCCCACAGTTTCAACATCTACAAATCTTTTTTGAGAGCGGTAGTACAGGGGATTGAAAGGTGAAAACATGTTCACACAAAACTTATACAAGAATGTTCATAGCTGCTTTATTCATTATAACCAAAAAGTGGAAATAACCCTCATATCCATCAACTGATAAATGGCTAACTAAAATGTAATGTATCCATACAATGAAACATTATTTGACCATAAAAAGGAGGAACTACTGACAGATAATAATACAACATGGATGAACCTTGGAAATGTTCTGCTAAGTGAAAGAAGCCAGACATAAAAGGGCACATATTGTATGACTCCATTTATATGAAATGTCCTGAACAAATTCATGGGGTCAGAAAATGAATTAGTGGTTGCCAAGGGACAGGAGGAGGGAGAAATTGAGTGACTGCTAATGGGTAAAGCGTTTCATTTTGGTGAGGGGCGGTGGAGTGGAAATATTCTGAAGACAGTGGTGATGGTTGTACAACCATGTGATGATTCTAAAAACCACTAAACTGTATACTTAAAATGGCAAATTTTATCTCATTTAAAAAAAAACCCATCTTAAAAAAATAGTGGGAAGCGATACAAAATAGAATGAGACACGTATGGTTTGGAATCCCACAAACCTGGTTTCAAACTGGGTCCCACCCAGCTGAGCCATGCCGTCGGGCAAGCTCTCTAACTGCTCTGACTTAGTTTCTTCATCCAGTAAAATGCCAGCCTCTTGACGTGCCTGCGAAGAGCAGGTGCAGTCACGTGTGTGCAGCTTTGCCTCCTGCCTGCTATGTAACAGGCACTCAAGGAATAATTATTTAATTGAAGAGACCTGCATTTTTTGACTTGCCTCTCCCTATAAGTTCTTGCATGAAATTGAAAAGACTGTTGAAATGGTCAAGTGACAGCTAGTTGAAGGTGAAAGGCTGGTAACTTACTTACAAGATGAGTCCACTCTTCTTCACTTGGCTGCTAACTAAACAGTGACAAGCTCAGCCTAACTGTACCTTCACTGGGACACTTTAATGTTGCCTCTTGTGTCTCCCAGTTCTTAAGTACTTTGGGGCAACACTGGGTGACAAAGTAGAACACCACTGCTTTTTCCCCACCTCCCATTCCTCTGTCACCCTTTTGCCACTTAGAAGCAATGTCACTGACCCCATTTTGATCTGGTTGTGGGAAGAAAAAAGCAACAACTTTCCTTCCAGTATCTTTAATTTTCCCTTTTCTGTTTCCAATACCGTTTTTTAAGCTCTTATTTGAGAATACCTTTCTCTGCATTTAGAACATGAATTTAGAGCTTTCTAGCTCCTTTTTTCTCTTGCATATGTCTATTTCAGTCACGTTTTCTCCTTACAAAGTGCTCAGGAGACTTCTCCAGCTTTACCCTGGAAGCTTTTCAATCATCAGTGTTCCAAGTTTTTTCTACACACTTGTTGTTTCAAACAAGTTGGCCACTGTTTCTTGACAGAATTCTCATTGCCCAGAAAAATCTGTTGCAGTAACCAGACACTCTGTGATGTGCTGGGAAAACCCAGTAGTGTGGGGTAATCCTTCTTTCTTGCCCGTATGTTACAAGTCAGACCTAAGAGACAGGGCCAGGAGTTACAAAGGCCTGCCTGTTGAATAAGGGAAAACGGGCCTTTCACCATTTCATTATTTCCCCTCAGGATTTCAACGATGAATTCTCAGATCTGGATGGAGTGGTTCGGCAAAGAAGGCAAGACATGGAAGGATACAGCAGTTCTGGATCTCAGACCCCTGAATCTGAGAACTCGCGAGGTCTGGGAGATTCATGTATCTTTACTGAAATTTAATTCTTGGGGGGAGGGTATAGCTCAGTGGTAGAGCATATGCTTAGCATGCACAAGGTCCTGGGTTGAATCCCCAGTACTTCCATTACAAAAATTATTTCTCCACAAAACGTCCTTATCTCACCCCTG